GGATATCCATATGCAAAAAAAAAAAAATTAAACTAGACCCCCGGCCTCTCACCAAAATCAGTCAGACTTAAATGAAAGACTCAAAACTATGAAACTAACAGAAAAAAAGATAAGTAAAATGCCTCGGGGCATTGGAACAGAAAAAAAGATAACTAAAATGCTTCAGGGCATTGGATTTTGTGGATAAGACCCCAAAAGCACCTGAGACAAAAACAAAAATTGAAAAATTGGATGACCTCAAACTAAAAAGCTTTTGCATAACAAGGAAACCAACCTGAAGAACCAACCTGAAGAATGGAAGAAATATTTATCTAACAAGGAAAAGATCAAGGTCCAGAATATATAAGTAACTCAAACAATTTTTTTAAGAATCTAATTTTAACATGGGTAAGTGACCTAAATAGACATTTATTAAAAGAAGATAAACAAGAGTTTAGATGTAGCTCAGTGGTCTAGCATGTGTGAGGCCCAGGGTTCAGTCAGAAGGAGGAAAAGGAGGAGGAGAAGAAATATAAATAGCCAGCAAGTATATGGAAAAATTCTCAACATCACTAATCATCAGAGAAATGCAAATCAAAATCATAGTGACCATCATCTCACCTCCATTAGAACAGCTGTCAAAAAAAGACAAAAATACTAAAGTAGGTAAGGATGCAAAGAAAAGGGAACTCTTGTACAGTGTTGGTGAGACTACAAATCAGTACATCCATTATGGGAAATGCTATAGAAGTTCTTCAAAAAACTAGAAATAAGCCTGACTCAGCAATATATGCCTATAGTCTCACCTCTTCAGGAGGCTGAGGCAGGAGGATCATTCGAACCCCCAGGAGTTCCGGACTAACCTGGGCAACATAGCAAAACTCATCTCCAAAAAACAAAGCAAACAAACTAGAAATAGAACTGTCCTGTGATCCAGAAATCACTCTACTAAGTATATACACAAATGAAACCGAGTCAGTATATCAAAGAAACATCTGCATTCACATGTTTATTGCATCACTGTTCACAACAGCCAAGGTGCAGAATCAACTAGGTGTTATGGTTCAGATATTAGGTGCCCCCCACCAAATACTCATGTGTAAAACAATGCAAGAAAGTTTAGAGGCAAAATGATTAGGTTATGAGAATTTTAACCTAATCATCAAATTAATTCCCTGATAGGAATTAACTGGGCGGTAACAACTGTAGGCTGGTAGGGTATGGCTGGAGAAGGTGGGTCCTTAGGGATAAGTCTTTGGGGTATATATTTTGTCCCTGGAGAGTGGATCCATCCCTGCCCCTCCCCCACTGTTACTCTCTCCCTCCGTCCCTCCCTCCTGGTTCCATGTCCTGAGCCACTTTTCCTCCACCATACTCTCTTGTTATGATATTCTGCCTCACTTTGGGCCCAGAGCAATGGTATCCGCTATCATGAACTGAGACGTCTGAAACCATGAGCCTCAAAATAAATTTTTCCTCCTCTAATTGTTCTTGTCAGGTCTTTTAGCCACAGCAGTGAAAAAGCTGACCAAAACACTAAGTGTTCATCAACAGATGAATGGATAAAGAAAATGTAGTACATATACACAATGGAATATTATTCCCTTATAAAAGAATAAAATTCTGTCATCTGAAGCAACGTGGGTGAAACTGGAGGACATTTTATTAAGTGAAATAAGTCAGGCACAGAAAGACAAATACCACGTGGTCTCCCTTAAGTGCAGAAGCTAGAAAGTTGATCTCATAGAAATAAAGAATAGAAGAGTGGTTTTCAGCACCTGGGAAGAACATGGGGGAGGGCGGGATGGAGAGAGAGGATGGTTGATGTGTTCAGGTTGCCTAAGAGGAGAAATCACCTCTAATTTTCTATAGCACAGCAGGATAACTAGGGTTGGCAGTAATTAATTATTTCAAAAGAGCTAGTAGAGAGGATTTTGAATGTTCCTGAAACAAAGAAATGATAAGTATTTGAGGCAATGTTTACGTCAATAACCCTGATCTGCTCTTTACACGTTGTTTACAATACTGATATATAACGTCATACCCCATAAATTTGCACAATCACTTTGTATCGCTCAAAAATAAAGCTATGTTTTTTAAAACATTCTTGGGAATTTTATATCCACAGAAAAATAGCCAACTTGAACTGAAGGGAGCAGAGAAAGGACAAAATGAAAGAGAGCTGATAACTGCACCACCACCCCCCGGCAAAATTCAGTCAGCAGGCAGCAGGCTGAAGAAACTACTTGAGTGCATACCCATGCTGTCGTCATGCAAAAGGAACGATGTCTCCGAGGAATAAACCACAAGCACACAAGACCAGGAGTTATTCCCAAGCCTTGAAACAGTGGAGTTTGCACTATGGAATTTCAAAATTGCTTGGCCCTGGTGACCCCTTTCTTCTTTCCATTCCCTCCCCTTTGAGACAGGAATGTCTGTAACCCGTGTTCTACACCTGTCCTACCATTGCCTTTTGGAAACAGATGAGCTATTTTCTAGTTTTGCAATCTAAAGATGGGAGGCGAATTTTTCCCATAATGAGTTCCACACCTGACTTAAATTATTTAGATGATGAAATCTGGAACTTTTTTCAGCTGATGAGATTAGAGGAGATTTTAGATTTAGAGCTGGAGGACATTTTATTAAGTGAAATAAGTCAGGCTGTAATAATTAAAACTTTTGAATTGGGATGGAGTCAATGTATTTTGCAAGTGAGAAGACATGGAGCTTTGGGGGCCAATGAGCAAACATTGTGGTAAGCAAAATAATGGCTCCCCAATGATGTCCATGAACTAATCACTATGACCTGTGAATATGTCACTTCATATGATAAAAGGGATCTTGCAGTTGTGATCAAATTACAGATCTTGAAATGAGGAAATTATTTTGGATGATCCAGGTGGGCCCAGTATAATCACAAGAGATAAGAATATAGGGAAAGGCCTCTCCAAACTCCTAAAGCGAAGTTACTTTTCCCCCCAAAGAAGCTGAAAATCCCTCCCAGTTGTTATCGTAGCAGACATCCCAGAAGCAGTTGCCAAATTAGAGAACATACAGATTACAAAGCAGAGGTCCAACCTTGGGTGCCCACACTTGTGGAATAAAAGCATAAGTGATGGATAAGCAGGGGCAAGTCTCTTATAGGGTAGACAAGGCAGAGGAAATTTTATTTCAAAAATCTTTTTAATGACTTACTACATACTATGTGCAATAGTAGGCTCTGAGAACCTAGAATTATCTAGATCAGCAAGACCCCTGCCCTCCTGAAGCCAAATTTTCATAGCAGTCTTACTAGGATCAAGAATGGCATGAACACTCAACAGTGACAGAACAGACCTTGTACAATGCAAAGAGAAAAGTAACCAAGTCTATATTCTCTTAACCATACCCAGCTTAAATACTTCTCTCTTTAGCAAGAAAATTAACATATCTGTAGTCTTGTTACATGTCATTATACAATACATGCAGATTTGCAATATATCATTAACAAGCCTTAAGTTGTCTACACAGTGAATATGCAAATCTTGTTCCATATGTTGGTTCAGTTATTCTAAAGAAATCCTTTTGTCATTTTCATAAAAGGCCGAGTTAAATGAACCCTGCCAGGCATTTGCATAGAGAAATATTCAATCCACCTCTCTACCATATCTGACCAGTTCATTTTTCTACTTTAACCTAACAAAGCCCTCACCCCCACTGTGAGAGTAAAGTACAAAACCATTAATGTGGCCTACAGGCAGGGGTGATATTTACAACACTTAATAACAAGTACATAGCCTCCTACCTATCAGAATGGACACTGGCCATAAATCATCAGTCCACTCAAACCTGTGCATATCAGCAGAATATCCAGTGTAACCTGGCCTGTGACTTCCTCAGCAACGACTTGCCACCATTCAGCCATGCTAGACCTCTTTCTCTTGGTCTCTACCTTAAGACCTTCTTACATATTATTTCCTCTGCCCAGAATGCTCTGAGCCCCACCCCTTCCTATACCAGGCTTTTTATTCATTTTTCAAGTCTCTGCTGACATGCCACTTTTTCAAGGTAGCCTTTCTCTGCCACCATCTACTACTCCAGTTAAATCAAATCTTCCTCTATTACTCTCTTTTTTGGCAGCCTGGCTATCACCTTCATTGTAAGTATAGGCGTTTTGATTCAATAATGACCTGTGCAGTGATTGTTTCCTTCATTATATCTTAGAGCAGGGGCTGCATCTATCTTACTTACTCTAACTGGTAACCCTGCTATTAGCACATTGCCTAGTATGTAGAAGGAATTTCAAAATGATCCCTAGTGCTTATCAAGCATTTACTACATATCAGAAATTGTAGTAATCACTTTAATAGACTAACTCCTTTAATCCTAGTAACAGCCCCATGAGGTAGCTATTACAAGGGTCTATTATTTTAGGTGAGGACACTGAGGCATAATCAAGCTACGTAATTGCCCAAAATCTCAAAGCAAATCAGAAGTAGGGCTGGAAGCTGAACCCCGGCAGTAGAGTGCCAAAGCCCATGCTTTTAAGAATCATAATATACTGACTTTTCAAATACTTAAAAAATTTAATAAATTGTAATCAAGTTTATAGATGGCAGAGCCAACTAAGCTACACCCCAAAGAGAATGCAGCCATAAAACATCCTCTGTGCTCACAGTCTATCCATGAGATGAGTGATATGTGCATAGATATAAGTAAAGCCAGAGATAACAACTGGAGATATGCCCTGGGGGGAAAAAAAGTGCACGACTGGCCAACAGTTCTCAAGGGTTTTGCAAATTAATTCCCCTTTAGATCCCCACCAAAATCCCCAGAGAAACACTTCACTACCAAACCAAATATTTTACCACCACGCCCCCTAGTGCCTCCTCCCACTCTCAGAACACTGCATATCTATTTGAATACTCTTCAGGACAATTACACAAAGAAAATAGCAAAGGCGATTCACACACCAGATGAGCACTCCCAGATCAGCCCTCCTTTCTGACCTCTGCCCCATACAAAGGAGAAAGTGCCCTTACCTTGAAATAAAAATGCTTTGCTAGCATTGTGCAGTCCAGACACCTGCGTGACTCCAAAGGTGGTATTCACAAGATCAAGTTCGGTGATAAAATCCATCTGAAGGTCGGGGTCCATACCAAAGCCCACCACTGGAAAGGAACAAACAGCTGTTATGACTTAAAAGGCAGATGACCAGCAAAAATATAGAGCAGAAATCACAGAGGCAGGGACTGGCAGGGAACACAGGGGAGCCAGTGAAGGATATTCCCTCTCCTGGAGACTCCCTCTCCCTGGAGAGCAAAGGAAAGCAATTGTGTCCTATCACCCCTCGGATGGTGCAGCTTCTTTGTACCTTTTCCCAGCTCCACTCCCCACTGTAAATGGATAAGCCCCCATCCAAAATCCCTGGGGCTAAATATATTTTGGAATTCAGAATATATAGTATATTTGAAAGGTCCTACATACTACATACTACACATTTTATGTGATTCTTTCAGCAAAGTTGGAATGGGCACTCCATAATCAAATTCTGTATTTCTGGATTGGAATGCACAATATTTTCCTTTAATTGGCACAAAAACTATAAATAGCTTAATACAAGTTTAGTTCAAATTTTGCCACCAAATGAGTTCAACTCAGGATAGATTTTGTTATCTGGTGAATTATATAGAAATTTGGGGATTTTTAAGCTTTTTTTAGGTTTGCAGACTATAGATACTGCATTATGACCCTGATCTTCCTGCTTCAAGGAATCTGCAAGAGCAAAATCTGATACAACCACCAACAGTAAACACTAGCACAGAGTGAGCCCTATTAACCAGGCCCAACCACCTGTAATAAAGAGGAAGGAAATGGAGAGGGTCCCTGCCCCTGTTGGAAAAAAGGGGGGGGGGGTAGAGAGACTGACCAAAAAGGAGGATCCTTGGAATAATAGATGTATATTTTTACCCAAGGGGATTTCTAGAAGTTAGATACCCTGACATCTCTTGTTGGAGAATCTAAGTGCAAAGAAACATGGCCCCAAATCTCTTCCTCCCTTGTCTGAGAAAGGCGAATCCCCAAGGTTGTCTCTCCCAGGGAATGATTGTGAGGAATGATTCATTCATGATTGCAAAGTGATTTCCAATTATATATATTAATAAGGCTACAGATCACTCTAAGGGACTGTGTTTAAGCCATTCATAAAGGCTGTTTCTATCGACGCTTAGCATCTCAATAGTGCAATTCTGATTGCGCAGTTGGAAATGTTTTAATCAGCAACAGCTGTCAACTTTCCTCTGATGGTAATGCAGTCACCAAGGCAGGATTCGGAGAGCTTGCACCCAATTTGTCCCACAGAGGCTTAGTGAATATTCATCAGAACATCATGAGCCATCAGGACCTCACCTGTCCCCCCTCCCACATCCCCCTCAAGACCTACAGATTCAGGGAAGGAAAACTACCCTCTCCTTCCTCTTTTCATTTTAGGAAGCAGGAACTGCTACAGCTCTCCAGTCTTCTGTCATCAGAAGGTTGGTCCGAAATGACTTTGGAGCTGCAACTTGTCATTGCCAAGGCAGAAAATTGGTTAAATTGAAAGTGCAGGACATATAATGGCCTCTCCGTTTTTGTCAGGCTTCCCTGGGTCTACCGAACTGAAGGTGTAAGTTTTCTCCTTTGAAATGCAGCCAGTTATGGGATCAGTTTACCCAAAGACAACTCTTACTTGCACTGACTCTGCACTCATTCATTAACAATGTTTTCAAAGAGGCACTGCTAAGGGCTTACTATGTACTAAATATATTGCTAGGCACTGGATAGGTCGTCGTGAAGCTTGCGCTCCTGGTGGGGGAGGGAGACAATAAACAAACAGATTTTTTAAAATAATAATTTGAGGTGATAACAATGCCAAGAAAAAAAAATAAAGAGTAATGGGATAGAAAGCATCTTGTGCAGGGAGCCCTACTTTAGATGAGGAGGTCAGGGAAGGTTCTTTTGAGCTAAAACCCAAATGACAAGAAGTAGCAAGATTTGCCGGGAAGGTTTTTCACAGGTAGAGATCAGCAAATGCAAGCAAGGAACATACTTGGAGAGTTCAAGGAATGGAGAAGAATAGCGTGGCTGTGGCAGAATGTGCCAGAGGACAGTGGTAGAAAATAAGACCACAGGGTAGGCAAGGGCCAGATCACATTAGGTCCTGTCACCCACAACAAGGAGTTTGGATATTATTGTAATGCTAAGAGGATATCCTTGGAGGGTTTTAACGTTTATGTTTAAGGAAAGTTGAAGTTTCTACCTGCCCACTCTTGCTCATCCTACACACAGTCTCAGTTCACAAGTGCCTACTCTGTGCAAAGCAGAACTGAGATGGATAGTTTTCTGTCATCCCAAGTTACAACACCGTGAGCCTGTGGTTGAGACCTGTGATGTTTTTCTCCAAGTGAGCTCAGATGCTAGCAGTTCTGTGATCACCTTGAAAAGACAGGAAAGGAACTAATATTTCAGTTTGATCTATAGTGTTCTACACCTATATGGCAGAAATTAAATCAAGAGTGATCTCAGAGGACCTCCAAGCTGGTCTTTCTCTGGCCAGGAATTTTGAAAATGGCCTGGGGAATGTGCCCTTAGCTGGACACAAAAGGAAGGAAGTATCCCTGTTGCTCCAGTGCCTTGCACCAGACCTGACATATTACAGGCTTTTAATTTAGGACCTGATTAATTATCTAATGCGTGGGTGCATGATCATTGCTTTGGGAGCAATGATCTCAGAGCAATATGCTTATCTGGGGACAACATGATAATACGGGATGGCATACAGGTCAGAGAAACTTTCAAAAGAGACTGTGGTTAACTGAATTATTGGCCTCCCCCTATCTACCCTCTGTGCTGTGTGACTTTGCAGTTTCTTCTAGTGAGAGTAAATCTCCCCATCCCTTGACTTCAAGCCCAGCCATTCAATCTGTCTTGGCCACTGGGATCTTGATGACATTACACAAGTAGAGGCTTAAATGTGCTTGCATGAAGGAACTACTTTCTTATACTTCTAAATCTTTTTGTTTTTTTAATTTTTAGTTGTAGATGGACACAATACCTTTATTTTATTTATGTGGTGCTGAGGACGGAACCCAGTGCTCCACATATGCAAGGCAAGTGCTCTACCGCTGAGCCACAACCCCAGCCCTGTACGTCTGAATCTTGATGAGAAGAACATGGCTCTGCAGCCACACAGGTCAAAGAGTATGGAGACTTGAGAAGCAGACCAACCCTCATATATGTGAACTAAAATAAATGCTTGTTGTTTTGGATGGCTTGCTAATAGCCAGTTTCTGTCCTATCTCTTCCCCCTACGAATTCTGTCCCCTTGGAAAAATCACTTCCCAGAGCCTTAGTTTCCTCATTTGTAAAAAGGAAAAAATAATACCTCCCCCAACAATACCTGAACACTCCAGCTCAGGCTGCCACCTAGTTGGTATATAGCTGAGGTTACTCCATCTGTCTTTCATACGACATAGTTTTCCAGACTTTCCCTGGTGCTCAACTCCACTAAAATAATGTAAAAGCTACATAAGGCCTTTCTCCAAGCTGATAAATGTTTTGCTCTTTTTGTGAAAACACCCCATAAAAACAGAACAAGAGAAAAGAAATCAATTAGGCGTCTGGATACAGTTTTCTTCTTTCCCTTTAATTGTTACCCTTCAGGATGGAAATGCCCAGTGCCAACAGCAGGATGTGTAAGGGATAGCACTTTGCTCACTGCCTAGGGAATCAGAAAACCTATTAATAAGGCAGCATTTACATGGCCTCTCCAGACCTTTTGGAGTGTGAGTGTTGGTTCCATTCAATTTTTTTTTTATTTTAATGTTTCTGTTTCTTGTCCAAGCATGGAGTTCCTGCCCTTTCCTAGGGAAACCCTATTAAAATTTTCAACTTTTGACATAAAGTCTCTACAAATGGCTGAAGCTGGGAATTAGAATTAAGCAGGATAAAAAGCTCCTGGGGAAAAGATATTTTAAAAACCTGGAAGGCAGCATGTCAAAGCCACAGAGGCACTTGAGGCCTGGCGCTGGGATTCAGAAACTTCACCTTAGCCAGGACACCTGCTGCTGTTAGTCACTCCTTAGCCCTGCCCAAGGAGCGCTGGAGGCCAAAGCCCACTTAGTCCACCTTTGATGTCTAAGACCTAGGCTCCCAGGCAAATTCCCCTGGGTCTGGCTCACTTCAAATCTAATCTGGCTCATTGCCCATGGTGGCAGCTGTCTCCCTGGTCCATGCAGAGTAAAATGATGCTGAAAAGATGCTCTAAGACCTCATTTACCAGCAGGATTTCACAACCACTTGATCGGTTCTTAATACCCCAAAAGCATTTTTCTCAAAGAATATGCTTTATGTTTGTTCCAAGTTGGCTGATATTTTACATGATCACTGAAGGCTGGGGGCACATAGTCACCGGTCCATTATTCAATTCATAATTAATGAACCACCTGGGAATTGCTTCAAAAAGAAAATCTCTCCTTTCCAGCAGGTGGCAGCAAAAGGCATTCAGTAGGCACCTAAAGGCATTGGTGTTTCAGGTATTTCCTTTACCCCCTACCCTGCAGACCAAAACAAACTGGAAATCAGTGGCAGAATAATCATTGAGCTCATATTATACTTCCAGGCCATTGGAGAAGATTCATGAACGTGGTGGGCTATTACTGCTATTACCGTATGCTTCTAAATTTTCATTATTAATGATTACCTGGAAATCCCAGATTCTCACCCAGAAATAAGAACAAGAACTGGAGAACAGCGTCTTCTATCTTAACTAATTCGACTTTGCACCCTAAAACAAGTTTTCTGAACGAGAGCAGTGTAAGCAGCTTCCTTAGGACACCTATCATTAGATCTTTTCATATGTAACTGCTTCTGCACTGCAGTCTTGCTTTAATTAAAATGTGCCTGATATCATCTATTCATTTCCATTAAAAGGCGGTGATATCTGAGCAGCTCACTAAGTGAACCACATGTTTATTTCATCTAGGACTGTTAACAGCTCAGACAACAATTGTCTCACTTGACAAATAAACTTCCCAAGCAGCTGTTTGGATCCTGATAAACTCATCACCAGCCATCCTCTGCTACCTAAAGAAGAGGATGGATGTCTGATGTGGGAATGGGGATTTCTGGGCAAAATCAAAGAGATTGTCTCCAGAAAGCTACTCCCTTAAGCTACAAGAAATTCTAAGTGTATGAATTAAATCCCCCGCCCCCATCTCTGATTCTTCTGACAATTTTTGAAGGAGAAATAGGTGCCTTCTGGTGTGTAAGTAGTACCAAGTGGCACAGAAAACCCAAGCTCCCAGTCTTTAGCCACAACCAGTGGGTCAGATCCATCCATGTTCTTAGTCCTTGCACAAGCTTTTCCCTCTGCCAGGGATGCTTTCCCACTTTATCCCTTCAGAGTTTACAAGACACAACTCTCAAATGTCACCTTCCAAGTACAGCCTTCCCTGATACCACCACCTTTCCAGAATTAATTCACAAACTCCCTCCTCTGTATTTCCTTAATACAAACTTCTTTAACCCCACCTCCCACCATCCCATCAACTATAGAACACAAAATGCTTTCCATTTTCTATCTAGATTCTCAGCTAATCTGTAAGTTCTTGGTAATGAAGAACTAAGTCATTTTCCCTTAAGTTACTGGGCACCTAGCAAGAATGAAAAAATAAATGAATGAATGAATCTTCCTTCACAACCAAATATGTATAAGATTTAAAGGGAAATGGGATTGAGCAGGAGAATAAGACCATGTTTTTAAAGACTTCCTCCACAAGCAATGAACCCTGAAAACAGATAAACTTTTTGGCAACTTTTCAAAGGAGTGATGTGAACAAAGGATTTAGACAGATTCCACATGACTTGGTGATATGCACTTAAGAGTGTAAACTGACCCATGGGATGCCTCTCCCCCATCTAGTGTCTCCTTGTCTTCCACTCCTCTGTAAGATGCTCACCAGCCTCAGACTCCATACGCCTGATGGGTAGCCCAAACTCTGCCCTAACCTCAACAGTCCTCATCTTTCTGGGACCTCGTCCCTTCCAGTGCATTCTTGGTTGTAAAAGGCTAACCCATCCCAACAACACCTGAATTCAAGAAGCAACTATTCTAGATTTAAAACAATCTTGACCTCTCCGCAGGCAGGGAAACTCTGATAAAGAAAAGCATGATGGTTCTTTTGTCCCTGGAGAAATCTCTCCTTGACACTCTTCAATTAAGCAAAGGAAAGCAGCTTAGTCCTGGGGAGATGGGAAGGGCCAGCTCAAAGCTCCTAGAAGCCCAACTCTTGTATCTCCATGGACTAACTGCCATAGAGGGGGGCCTGGGGCTCAAGCAGAGGGAACTTTTGAGCCAACCAGGGGCCGGCACCCCTCAGCACTCTCCGGATGAAGTTGCTCCCTGATCTGGGAAGGAGGCTATACTTCCTGAGAAGAGGCATGGGAATGGTAAAGGGGTGAAGATAAAGGGAGAGGAAATGACCACATGTTCGCTCTGGGGTTCAAAGACAGTGGGCAACGTGTAATGAGGATGGCTGGCTTAAAACTGAAAATCCCCAACACTCCCTAATCCGCAGGCCCTAATTTTACCAATTTCCAACCACCACCCCCAACTCTACTCCCACTCCTTGTCTCCCAGCATCTACTACTAGTTTCTTAAAGTAGAAGGCTACGTCCAGTCTCTGAACCCCAGGGGACTCGGAACGCAAGGAAGCGGTGCGCTTAGAGTCCTTACAACTGCATCTCCGGTGGCAGAACGAAGTGGGGACTTGAGACAATTAGCCAGTTGCTCCCCACCCCACAACCTTCGATTACATCAAGGGAAAACTGATTTGAGAAAATCTCCTAGGATTGTCTCCACTGCTCCAATTTCAGGAATAATTGTTCGCCCAGCCCTTGGGGAGGGAGGCAGGTGGAGGACAATACTACTGGAGTCCCCCGGGGAAAGTCAGGAAAGGATAAAATGAGATCGCCGGATCCCGGGCTCCCCCGCAGCCCTTTCCCAAGCTGCGCCTCACCCTCCCCGGCCCGGGCCGCGCCCGCCGGCCGGAAGCGCTCCCTCTGCGGGTGCAAGTCCTGCGGTCGCCGGTTCCCCGCCGGCGGGTCTCCTGGAAAGCTGTTTCCACAGCGCCTTTCAAGTTCGGGGATGTGAGACCCACCCTCCTGCGGGTTTCGCCTCCCCAGAACCTAGAAGCGGGCTACTAGCAGCAAAAGGGTGCGACAGCTCAGCTACGCCCCTCACTCCTGAGAACCCGCTGCCTCGACCCCCGGGAAGGGGACACTCAACTGGGGTGCCTAGTAGCCCATGAGTCCGGTTTCCTGCCCTTTCACCCCAAGCCGGGCAGAGAGATCTAAGGTACCAATCCACCCTTCTACCCTTCTCCGGACCAGCGCGGAGCTCGGCTCCAGGTCTCCCACGCCAGTGTGGACGCTAGGCACAGCAGCGGCGCCCCTTTTTCCGCGTATCCCTCCACCCGCCCCAGCCTTGCTTACCTGTCCTGGCAGTGCACACACAGAACCATAAAACTAAAATCACATCCATCGGCATTGCTCGAGAGGGTCCCCGCCAAGCAGGGCGCACCGAAGCCAGGAAGAAACAAATGCGCCTAGAGATCCCGAGACGCGCCGGGCTTGGAGCCGCCAAACTTGCTAGCGGGCGGCAGGGGAGGTAGCTCGGCAGCGCCGGGTGCTGCGCTAGGGGATCGCGCCCGGGATGGCAGTCCCGGCCGCCCCGCCCCCAGTCCGCCCCCCCACCGTGGGCGGTGGTGGCGCGGGGCTCGGGCCCCGGCCCCCGCTGCGGCTGCGCTCGCCTTAGGAGCTGGGGCGGGAGGGCAGGGCTTAGCCACTCCGGCAGGTTGCCCTCGAAGCGGGGCCGATCCAGTTCGCTTCCTTCGCCTACAGAGAAGCGAAGATCCGGGAAGCAGGCGCGGCTGCAGCTACCACCCAAAGCACCGGAGCGGGAGAGTCCCGGGACCCGCGGCCGTAAGGGAGGAGCTGGAGGCGCAAGGCTTCACGCGCTCCACTCCCTCCGAGCTACCCTCGCCACTGTCGCCGCCTCTGCCTTGGCGTGGCCGTGGCAGCTGCTGAAGTTGCCACAGTTCATCCCGGCCGAGTCGAAAAGCCGCCGAGCCCTCGTGGGTGGGTTTTTGTCTTCGGGGAACCCAGACCGAGGCGGCGCCACCGAGCGTGCCCAGCACCACCTCGGAAAACAATTACTCGGGATTCGCTCTGGCAACTGGGTGGGGAGCGGCGGATGGGGACCTGAAGGAGATGATGGCTGAGACCCTGCTCACCACCTGTACCTCTGTCTCTTCTCGTTAGGCGGAACCTTATAACTGGGTGTACACTTTTGGGGTGCAGGAAGAGAGAACTGAGGAGGAAGGTGCCAGGAAAAGGGATCCCTAAAGAGATTAGGGTTGAGGTTTGGGGAGTCTATTTGCAAACCTTGTTCTGCAGGGCAAATGCTGCCACATAGGGGAAATTCTCAACCATTTTTTTTTCCTTGCGTGACTTTCTTGATGGTTTTGTCAAAAACCCACTCTCCTTTACTAGTAATATTTTGGCCTCTCCTGCAGTTCCTCTGGGAACACCTCTACCCTCCCCCCCCCCACACCCACACCCCCATCTCCGAAAAAAAAAAGGCACCCCTTGGAGACCGAACCTTCCCAATGAGAATTTCCAGATTGGAGATCTCTGTCCCATTGCTTATTTGTCCCACTTCTACCCAGGAATGTTATTTATAACTGGAATGTGGAGTCGTGAACTCGGGAAATGACAGAACCTCTGATTTATACCAAATGAGCTCTACATGATTTAAGCTCCCCAACTTGGTCAACTCTACCTCCAAGCCCCTGCCCCTCAACACTACCCTTGCAACACCCACAAGAAAAAATCCCAGAAGAGAAAAAGAAAACTCCCAATAACCCTCCCTCATTTCCTAGGAACCAATTCAGAATCCTCTTCAAGAATAAATACCTGCCTTTCTCACTTTTTGCCCACCCTCTCACTTCGGATATCCTTAAACTCCAGACAACTTTGACCCAGGGAGCCCCAATAATGGTCACCAAATTAGCAACACATCTCATTAAGAGAGAAGATCTTACCCACATGCTCGTCTGGTTTCTGCCCTATTTTTCCAGGTATTTCTGTATGCAAGCCACTGTCCCACTTGGCCCTGTATATATATATATATGTCCCTTGGCAGATGAAAAAGAACGTGAACAAATAGGTAAATTCTTGCTCAAGAACTATACTACTCAGTCCAGAAGCTGAATAGAAAGATTAAGAGGTAAACTGACTCTTGATTCAGCTGATTCTTCAACTTCACAACAATTCAGCTTGGCCCCAGAGGGGTCCTCTCTGCCTCCATGCTGGGTCTTCATCAGACTCAAGATTTTTTTCCTTCTGCTTGGAACATGTTATATTTAAGCTAACTTAAAATCACACACTTTGCAGAAAATAGGATCTCCCAAGCCTAGCTGGGCCTTGTGAGCAAGGACACCAAACCCCTGTGTTTTCAGAGCCAGGTTCCCTCTCTGCACCTCATCAGCCCTTAGTGGCTTTGGACCACTCTTCTCAAGGTTCTTTTCTTCTCAGAAATCCCAGATTCCCTAAAAGCTGCAGTGATTCCAGCAAGGGGAAAAGGCTGGTCTGGGTAGGTCTTTTAGAGCTCTGTACCTATGTAGTTAGCTGGTCCTGTGGGGTGGGGCTTTTGCTCTTTCCATTAAAAAATAAAGTGAGACATATGTTCTGTCATAGCTTTGCAGCATCACATCCATTAACTAGAGTTAATCTCAACAAGGTCATAAATCTTTCCTAGATAACTAATATTTCAATCTGCTCCCATAAGTGTATTTCTGAGTAGGGATTTTGGATGTGTAATCCCATTAGGCTAAGAAAACAATCACAGAGTAGGCCCATAAAATGTCGATGGAGGGATCACATGGCTATGTGTGATAGGATGTTGCACTGGGACCTGTCTCAGTGGGGACAGCAGCAAGAGTTGTCTTACCAAATGTCATATCCCAGTATACCTTCCCCTTGATCATGACCTAGCTCCCTAGTTTCTCCAGGAACTGGTAGCTTCATTTGATCATCTCTCTACTGCTTCTTCTTCACCCCTAAATATTGGGGAGTTCTGGGGCTCAGTCCTCAGTTTTTTTCTTCCAGAGAAATATACTCACTTCCTGTGATTTTTATCCAGATTCATGGAATTGAATGTCTAAAATTGAATGACTCTCAAATGTGTATTTCCAACCCCAGTCTCTCCTTTGAATCCTAGGCTTACATGCCCAACTACTTACTAGGCATCTTAAGTATAACATTGAAACATACCACAATTAAAACATACTTCAAATGATACCCATTAGGGAAATAAAAAGATAACCTGAAGAATGAGAAACAGTTTTTGCAAGTTCTGTATCTGATTGGGACTTGTAGCTACTAAAAATCTATTATAACTAAATAATAAAAGTTCCAGTATGAAAATGGGCATAGGGTATAAATAGACAGTTCTCCAGAGAAGATGTACAAGTGACCAGAAAACTGATGAAAAGATGATCGGCATCCTTATCCATCTGGAAAATGCAAATTAAAATCACTATGAGATATTGCTTTGCACATACTAAAACGGCTAGAATCAAGAAGACTGATAAGCATTTGGAAAAGATATGGAGGAATTTCTACTACTAGTGAAAATGTCAAATGGTTCTTCAAACAGTTAAACATTGTCATCTGATTCAACAATTTTATTCCTAAATATTTACATAGGAAAAATGAATACGTATGTTCACATGCTAACATACACATATATTTATAGCATAATTCAAAATAGCCAAAAAGTAGAAACAACCAAAATGTTCATCTGATGTTGAATAAATAAATGTAGTATATCTTTACCATGAAATATTATTCAACAACAAAGAGAAATTAAGTACTGATACCCAGTGGAACATAGATAAACCTTGAAAACATTTTGCTAATTGAAAGAAGCCAGCAACAAAGAACCATATAGTCTCTGATTCCATGTCCATAATGTGCAGAAAGGCAAATCTATAGATGATAAAAGTTAATTAACAGTTGCCTAGAGCTGGTGGGGAAGATTAGGGGGAAACAGCTGTGGTGTGTGGGGATGATTTGGGGGATCATGAAAATGTTCTAAAGTTGCTTGTGTTAAACAGTATTACACATCCAAAATACTCACAGGCCCATTATATTGCAAGCTACTGAACTGTGTACTTTCAAAGGGGGAATTGTATGGGACATGGATTATACCTCAATAAAGCTGATCGCTTCTTTAGTGATCATGACAAACAGCAAAAGATTGTAATGTGGTCAAGCAGGACTTTTGATTTTTACCTCCTTCCAGATTTGCCCCCTGACAACTTCTAAGGGGATGGCATCAGAATTTACCAAGTGATCCAACCAAATAACCCATGGTTATCCTTAACTCACTTCCTTATGTCCTACATCAAAGCCAGTATACCCTAAAGACAAAGTCCAAGGCAATCACTTCTCGCCATCCCCACTGTTCCCAGTTTCCTCTAATCCATCATCATCCCTTCCTTGAACTACACCCACAGAGTCTTCTTGTTGCCTCCATTATTGCCCCCTGTAATTCAGTCACCCTCCAGCTGTCGTGATCTGTTTTTATAAACATGTATCAAATTATATTCCTTGCCCAAAAATTCCCCTGCTGTCATCATATTTTTGGAAAAATCCTAATAGTTTGCAAGACTCTTGCCTATCTCCCTGGATTTCTCTTTCCCCTTTCTCCCCCTTGCTCACTCCAGGGGGGCTTTCTTGCTGTTCCTCAAACATACCAAGTTCATACCTTCCTCACTGTCTTTGAGCCTGCTGTTCTCTCTACCTGGAGTGTTCCTTCCATAAATCTTTGCATGGTTCCCTCTTAATTGTGACTCAAATCTCTGCTCAAATGCAAACTCCTCAGGGAGACCCTACCTACAGAAGGGTCTCACTTCACTTCCAATACTCTGCTTTAGTTTTTAACTGTGCTTCCTATTATCTGAAATGATTTATCTGGATACTTAGATATTCTCTGTCTCCCCCAGTATAATGCAAGCTCTTTTCTTTCTTGTTCACCACAATGTCTTTCCACCTAAGGCTGTGCCCAGCACATTTTAGCATCTCGATGATTGTTTGTTGAATGAATGAAGCAATGGATGCTCTGGTAGGAAGCAACCTGGAGAACTGACTCTTCTCATTGGCTGTCACCAAGGCAACAGCCAGACTGCCTAGTCCCACTGGCCCCCAGAGCTGCTCCATTGCTGACTCTAAGTGGGGCAGCAGATCCCACAGAGGAAGAATGAGAAGGATTCCTTTTTACTATCCAAACAAAATCCATAAACTAGATAAGTTCAAGCCTGAGAAGTACCCATCTCATTTTCTGCTCACACAACTCCCCTCCCTCAGTGACTCTCCTTTGTCTGGCCTTATAGCTCCCTTTGTATTAAGGACATATAACAAGTTTCCTTATAAAACAGGCAAAAGTGAAAGGGTGGTGCTGTTAGGAACTGGATCGTGCCTCCC